TACTCTATGAATACATTTTACTGTGGATGAATATTTCATTGCTTCCAGTTTTTGGCTATTACAAAAATGAAATGGTGCCCAGTCCTGCAGCATCCCCATGACAGGTCGTGGACCGGACCATTGTGACCCATAGGGTTTTCATTGGCTGATTTTCAGAAGTAGACCACCAGGCCTTTCTTCCTAGTTGTCTTAGTCTGAAAGCTCCGCTGAAACTTGTTCAGCATCATAGCAACATACAACCCTCCACCGGCTGTGCATGAGGTGCATTGGCTGGGAATAGAACCATCACCCCTCTCTAAATGCAGAACATTTTCATCACCCAGAAAGCTCTGTCTTTTGAGCTGATGTGGTGCAGCTGGACGGCGCCTGGAGTGGAGGCACTCAGGCTGGGGATGCTCAGCTCCTCCGTGATACACAGCTCAGAGTGGAAGCTTCCAATGTTCCCACAAAGGCCATCAGTCGGGGAGGGGTGCCCACGGCAAGTGGAGGTGGCCCTACGTCTTGGAGGGTTTGGTGTTGGGGGGCTGCTTTGGTTAGATAGATAAAGTTGGGGAGGGGGTGGCAAATCGAGGAACAAAATTCAGGGCTCCAGCCAATGATGTCTTCCCTTAGCCCCCAGGCTCACCCTACAATCTCGGCCCTCAGAAATCCATGCTTTTGGTGTTGCAACTCTAGTCAGCGAGGAAGCAGGAGCTCCCTATAGGAGGAATTCCTTCCAGAGTTTGCATCGTGGTGGGGTTCTCTGAGGCCTGAGGGAAGCCCATGGAGTTCTGGGGATGGCCGGGAAAGTGGCCCAGGGGGTGACCCAGGATCCTCCCTCCTGGGGGAGGTGTTGGGGGAGGCCGTGGGTAGTGGAGGGGGCACTGGCGCTTTTGTGTGTGTGTGTCGAGGGGGTGACCTGCCTAGGGCTGACGCCAGGGAAAGGGGAGGAGAGGAAGACAGTGTTAGCCACGTGCTAGCTGCAGTCCAGGGCAGGTGGGGGTGAAGGTCCCAGCAGGCGTCCTCCCGTGCCTCAGAGGGAGGACTGAGGTTTCCTGCCATTTCCTGACCCGTCTGATGCAGCCAGAAGGCACGTTTTCAGCAGCACATGTGTAAAGTCAGCGTGTAGCCTTGTTAGGGATGGGGCAGTGTGCGTGGGACAGCAGGGAGGGGATGAGGTGGGTGTCTACCCTACAGAAAAGCACACAGGTGAAGTGACGTGAGCCCAAGGCTCCATGAGGGCCGCAGAGTCTCAGTACACTGCAGCCCATGACGATGGCTTCAAAGGGGCAGTTCTGAGGTGGGGGAGCGCAGGCTGTGATGGTCCCGGCCGGGGCATCTCAGCCTTCACCCCACTGTCTCCCACAGAGCACAAATACCCCGCTGGAGAAGGCAATGGCTTTTGGCTTTTCTCTTTGCTCCCCCCGCCCCGGCTTCACAGAGCAGTGACTAACCTGGGGGGCGGGGGGCACCTGGCTAGGCAGAACCAGGATGTGGGCGACAGTCCCCAAGCTGCAGGAAGGAGCTGACCCACACCACACAGTGCCACCCCAGCCTGACTGACCCAGCTGACCTTGGTTCCTGCCCAGAGCTTCCCCAGGGCTGATGAAGCCAGGCAGGACAGGGACACCAGCCTCTGCCCCAGGCCCCACAGAGCTCCAGGCCTGGGGGCTGCCCTGTCTTGCTGCCCTCACCCAGACCCGCCACCCTCCCGGCCTGGCCCTCCCGCTGCCCAGAGCCACCTGCACACCTGTCAGCCCTACACACTTGTCCTGGGCCAGGTGAGCAGAAGAGTGGGTCTGCAGCTCTCCCCCGCCAAAAACCAGCTCAGTCCCCTTCCACGGCGCGGGGCGCAGCTCTGCTGTGGGAAGGGCCTCTCTGGGACTTCCCTTCATGCACCCCAGGGACAATGGGCTAGGGGAGGGATGGCTGTAGGCAGAGCCAGGGGAGAGCAGGAGGGCAGGTAGAGGCCAGGGCTGTGCTGCTTGCACCTGAACACAGGTGAGGCTGGGCACCTGGCTGGCTGCCGCTGAGCTGGCCCAGCCTCTGTTAATTGGAGCCTGGGCGGGGCTGGTGAGGCGAGGTGTGGTCACCAGACCGGTACCAGCACGAATTTAATTAGTTTTAACAGGTGCCAGCAGTTCGGGGGGCTCTCTCACCTGCTCTCGCCTCCCCCGCTAACCTTCGCTCAGGTTGGAATCTCCCCTCCTCCTCAGCCTGTTTCAGCCTCTCCCATCCAGCCAAGTTCAGCTCAGAAGGCTCAACTCACATCACCCCAATTAAAAGATTTAAACAGAGAGAAAGGTGGGGGGAGGCACCAACAAACAAGGATCCTGTGAAGAAGTGAACACGGTGAGGGGCAAAGACGAACACTCCGTAAATGGCAGCCATTTCTGTTATTAGTCCGTGTGATGAGCTTTGTGATAAGCCCAAGGCCACCGCCGTGGAGTCCATTCCGACGCGTAGCAACCCTGAAGGACAGAGTAGAACCGCCCCATAGGGTTTCCAAGCCTGTAATCTTTACAGAAGCAGACTGCCACATCTTTCTCCTGCAGAGCTGCTGGTGGGTTAGAATCGCCGACCTTTTGGTGAGCAGCCGAGTGCTCAGCCGCTGTGCCACCACAGCTCCTGGGAGTTTTGAGATAGTTTCTAAGAATTCAGTCCTCCTCAGCCCAGCAGCGGAGACTGCTGTCTCCTCCCTCAGACTGGCTGTCTGTGGCTCTCACTCCTCCTGCCCCTGTGAGTGTCGCCATATTCCACAGCAACAAATCCCCCCCATCAACACTACTGCAATGCTTTGTTCTTCCTCATGACCGTATAAATTACTGTGAATCAAAAAACAATAATGGAATGCTTGTCAACGAAAAAAAGGCAAATCCAATGCCGTGGAGTTGACTCCGACTCATGGCGACCCTACGTACCTCAGATTGGAGCTGCTCCATAGTTTTTTCAATGGCTGAGTTTTTGGCAGTAGATTGTCAGGCCTTTCTTCCAAGGCACCTCTGGCTGGACTAGCACAGCCAAGCACGTTAGCAGCTGAGCATGTTAACTGTTTGCATCACCCAGGATGTTAAGATACTTGTACAAAGACGCTTTTTTCTCACTGCTCTTTATGATGTTAAAGGTTGGAAATATCCTGCATGCATAAAAGTGTTGGTGAGCTAACTTTCAGTCTATCTATAAAATAGAATATTATGCAGTCGTTAGGAATGTTAATGAAGATTATATTTATTCACTTGGATGTATTAAGTAGACAATACAATATGAAATAAGTTAGAAAAGAAAGTGTATCCCCAGATATTAGGAGTGATCATTTCTGGGCAATATAAAAATACATACAATATTACTATTATAAACGTAACCAATCTGAGGTGCGTGTTAGATACAAATTCCTGGCCCCTACACCCAGAGGTTCTCATTCGGGTATCCCCCAACCACACACACCCACACAGGTTCATTTCTACACATAGCCTGGTTGTACCATGTTTTTGAATCTTGGGACCCCTTGAGAATCTGATGTAAACTATAGGTCTTCTCCCCGAAACACGAATGGATGCACCCACTCTTGGGTGCACCTTTGAGGGGTACAGTCCGTGACTCTAGTTAAGAGCTGATAATCTAGAATGAGGTCAGCCTTGCCCCTTCTTTTTCTCTGGTGAGACCCACTTGTTCCCAACTACCTAAAGCTTGAGAACCTCTGCCAAGTGGCACAGCCCCGGGCCACTGCAGTAGCATCCAGAGGGTGTGCCGAGAGTCCTCCCCACCGTCTCCCTGCGGGACAGGCCCCTGCACCCCTGCTTCAGCTCCGAAGAGGCAAGCTGCTTCTGGCTGCCCAAGTCCGAGAAGCTGCCCCGAAGCTCTGATCCTGCCTGTTGTTAACACCAGCTGCCAAACTCTCTTCCGTCTGTCCTGCACACACACTGTTGCCCGGACGCTGACCTGGCCCCTGGACGAGACAGGGACATTTCATAGTGTCCGAGGGAACGGGTCAACGCGGCGGCTTCTGTGTTGAGGTGGGCTCTCAGTGGTACCAAAAGCACTTCAGGAACAGGTCTGATGAGGAGATCTCCTCTTTCTGTGTGTTCCTCTAAGCTCACGGACTGCTGGGGCAGACAGCTCTGTGGCTTCAAGAGATGGAGGGCATCGAGAGGAGCCGGCCCGCGGCGGAAGGGAGTCCATGCATGACAAGGAACAGACGCGGCACCAGGGGCGCCGTGGGCTGCTCGGAAGAGCCGCTCTGCCCATGAAGCTGCGAGATCTGGGCCATCCTGCTCCAAGAGGTCCCGCATCCTGAGCCTGTGGGTGCCAGGGTCCCCAGCCCTGTCTCCTGGCACCCTGCACTTGTCCCAAGTTCTGCCGAGCGCAGGCATTCCCTGGTTTCTAAGCCCTTGGTGACGCCCCTCCCGGGCCCCTTCCTCTCGGCTGCAGAGAGGAGCCGGGGGCAGGGTGAAGTGGGGCAGGCTGACTCACTTAAAACCACTGAACCAAACCCAATGCCATCGAGTCGATTCTGATCCATAGCGACCCCACAGGGCTGAGTGGGACTGCCCCAGAGGGTTTCCAAGGCCGTAACCCATACAGAAGCAGGCTACCACATCTTCCTCCCATTGAGCGGCTGGTGGGTTTGAACTCCCAGACTTCTGGTTAGCAGCCGAGTATTTAACCACTGCACCACCAGGGCTCCTAGACTTGCTTAGCCCAGCATAACAAAAAGAAAACCCAAACATTTTTCTTGTTTTTTAATATCTAAGATTAAAAAACCGAAAGACAAAAACCCAACAAGCCAAACGGCCCACTTGACGGTCAGTGACCCCCCGGCCCTGGTCTCCCTCTCCAGTGCTGTCTAGAAGCGGGCTTCCTGGGCTGCTTGGCCAGTCCCTGGGTCCCGGTCCAGGAAGGCTCGAGCCCAAGGGGTCTGACACCATCAGCTTCGCCCCAGCCCCTGGGCAACCAAGGAGCCAACCTTCCAGAAAGGCCAACAGACACAGGTCTGAAGTGTTCTCCTGAGGCCGAGCAGAGGGTTATTTCTTGTGGAGAAACTTCATTTTGTTGCCTAAAGGGAGAAAACGAGAAGATTTCACCGCGCAGGCGGCGGAGTGAGCACACTCCTGCCTTTCCCCTTCCCGCCCAGGTGCACACAACCCAGGCCTGAGCTCTGGAGAAGGTGAGGGGGCATGCCCTTTCTGGAGCGACCCCTCTGGCCCTCACTCAGCAGCCCTTCCCTCATGGAAAGGGGTCTTCTGCAGACTTGGGGGTCTGGCAGGGAGAGTGTTAGGGTGGTGGAAGAGGGGCTTCCGAAACAGCAACACAGGGAGCAGGGAGTGTGGCTCGTCCCCACGGAGCCCAGGCAGGGAGGACAGAGGTCTCCTGGCGACCCTGGCATCGCAGCCTCCTCCTCACTGAGCCTGCTCCCCCAGTCCTCTCTCTCTCTGCCGGCCCCCTTCCTCTGCTTCCATGTGTGCTTCCCAGGCTCAGCCCCCAGGAGACGAGAGAAGGAAGAGAGGATGGGGACAGGAGATGGCGAGACCACCCTGTGGCCCAGGAGAGGTGTGGAGGGCAGCGTGTGTCCTCTGCCTTCACTGAGGACAGAAGAGGACATGCCCATGCTCTGCGTGATCTGGGCCCCAGCTCCAGTGCAGGGTGCTGGCCAAGACATGATGACAGCTCATGGCTCGTGCCCGCCTGGTTTCCGGACTGGCCTGCCTTACCTAGTCCCTTCAGAAACCGGTTGACACCACTGTGCTCACCACTGGGGAGCGTCTCCAGGTACTCCTGGGCTCGGACCTCAAACAGACCTGTGGACAAGAGGAATCCCACCAGTGCGGTGCTTTCTCTTTGTACTTCTGAACACAGCGATTTCCTCCTCCTGTTCGTACAAACCCGCTCGGAAGCGTAAAGTTTTTACGGGGTTTTATTACCCTTATAACTGCCCAGTCTTACGCAATAACAGTTTCCGGAAAGCTAGCTTGTACATGAAATCCCATTTTCAGTCAACGAACACCTACCAAGCATCTGCCCTGCGTTAAGAACACGCCAGACGGCTCTGGCTCTCAGGGAGCTGCTGTGCTTGCCCACCCACATGCCTTCCTCCACAGGAATGACCTGGACCACGCTGTTCAGCGTCCTGGGAACCCACTTCCCACCGGGGAACTCGGAGGCCTGGACCAGATACCTCTTGGGTTCCTCAGCTCTAAGCCCCTGACTGATGCTCCAGGGACAGAGGGATCTTTACATGTTACTTTTAAGCTTTCCTGTCTCCCACTTCTCTATCTAATTGTTGTCAGCTGCCATCCAGTTGGCCCCCAACTAGGGCGACACCATGCACAAGAGTCTTGAGCCATTGTGGACTGGGTTGCTGTGATCCATAGGGTTTTCACTGGCTGATTTTCAGAAGTAGATCGCCAGGTCTTTCTTCCTAGCCTGTCTTAGTTTAGAAGCTCCGCTGAAATCTGTTCAGCATCACAGCAACACGCAAGCCTCCACGGACAGACGTGGCTGTGCATGAGGTGCACTGGCCAGAACTGAACCTGGGTCTCCTGCATACAAGGCAAAAATTATATCACTGAGCCACCAATGACCCCTGACTATCAAATAGCAATCCATAAATGAACATTTCAGGTCCCTGCAGATCTCCCACCGGTGCGCCACGTCACTCGGTGAGGCTCTCACCCATGTTCCTCTGTCCCTTCAGGCAGGATGTGTCAGAACCGCCTGAAGCTGGCACATCTGTCTTTGCAAAGGGCTCTGGGAACGCAGGGCTGGGGCTTCTTGGTTAGTCTGTGTTCTCTGTAACCAGCGCACAGAAGGCCTCTGGCCTGGGCCTCGCCAGATCTCCGAGGTCCTGCCTAACTGCCTCTCTGCGCGGCCTTCCTTACCGAGATTCACCAACATTTATAATCTTTAGACCCCCAAACGGCTTGAGATGATGAGAGAAAGAAAGCTGAGGGGCTTCCTCCTTTTTCCCACACCTCTCCCTTCTCCACCCCTGAAGTGCAATGGAACCAAGGAGAGAGGGCAGGGAGGCGAGGACAGAGCATCAGGGTAAACAAGCAGGAGGGAGAAAGCAAACGAAGGCTGCCCCGTCCGCTTCCCTGCGGCCCATCCGCGTGGCCGAGGGCCCTCACCCTTGACGTCCTGCCGGCGCAGCGTCCGCTCCTGCGCGAAGCTGCGGAACGTCTGGGTCTCCATGAAGACCTCGAGGAAGCGGCGCAGGCTCCGGGACGACACGGCCTTGCGGAACGCCTCCCGCTGCAGCGTCCGCTCCTCGCGCTCGCCCGGGGTCAGGAAGAGCGAGTAGTGGCCCACGATCTCCACGAAGAAGCGCACGAAGGCCTCGGACACCACCACGTTCAGGGGGCTGGACTCGGGGCCTGGGGGCGGGACAAGCGGTGAGGGCGCGACCTGGGGGCAGTGGAGGCGGGACCGGGCGGTGGGGGCAGGGCTGGCCGGCGGGTCCGGAGCCTCCGCCACTATCCAGTTACGCGGTAAGAGAGCGCTAGTTCTTCCATATCCGACCATCATTACCCATGAGAAGGGTCGCCGTGTTATGAAGGCAACTCTTCCCTCTTAAACAAGTATCCTAGGGCCTAAGTAGGGCAGTGCGAAAGGTTCCCAGAGTCCACTCTTGGGCACAAGGCCCCGATGGAGAGCGGAGCGCCCCGTCCCTCCTGAGCCGAGCTTGCCCCGGCCCTGCGGAGGGGGCAGGGGGCAGGTGCGTCTGGGGGCCCCGCAGAGCTTGCTCCGCCCAGCGGAGGAGGCAGCAGGCAGGTGCGTCTAGACCGGCCGCACTCACCAGGCCTGCCGTCTGGGGGCCCGTCCTCATGCTCGCTGGCCAGCTCGTTCCTCTGCTCCAGAACATGCTCCAGGGCCGCCTGCAGCTTGCGGGGCAGGATGGAGTCCTCGTCGTCCATCTGGGAAGCAGAAAAGCAGGTAGGCAGCGCTGGTCATCTGGAGATGCGGCTGCCCGCCGGCGCTGATCAGTGTGTGCGCCGCAGAGCAGCCACCTCGGTCCGGGCTGAGACCACCGCTTAGCAGCAGTGTGAGCCTACACTGTCTACTTCATGGTGAAGACTAAACGCAACACAACTACCTTGTGGAAGTGCTTGGCGCTTACTGGATACTCAGCGCATGTCTCCCACAGCCCCCACCTGTAGGGCCCATCAGGGACTGTGGCCAGGGCAAGAAGGCCTCGGGGGAAGGCCTATGAGTTCCCTTGGCCCTGGGGCCCTGCGGGCCTTGAGAAGTGCAGGTGGGCTGCGCTGAGTGATAAAGAACAGCACCCACACCGCTGAGCTTCTCAGCAATGCGGCAGCTCGGAGCGTGAGCCCAACGTGATCCATCGGAAAGTCTGGAAAACCTTTGTGTTATTATTCTTTGCAAGATCTGACGGGAGTCTGACCTCTCTGGCAAATAACGAAAAGAAAATAAACGTGTATTGTTTTCTCTGACAATGGAAGTAATTTGTGGTTACGATAGAAAGTCTGTGGAAGTCAAAGCAGTGTGAACCTGTCCCGGTCAGTCCCCCACCCCAGGGCGGCTGGCCTCAGCATTTCTGCTGCGTTTTCCTTGCAGCCTTGTAAGATGCATATGTACATATATTTTCTTTCCTTTTTTAAAAAAACCCAGATCAGCAAAATAATTTTGCATCCTGATCTTTTCCACTTAATATTGCATCATGAACGTTTCCCTTTGTCAGCAGATACTCTCTAAAGCATGTTGAGTAAGTGCCTAGAGTTACAACCTATGCAGAGGTTCTCATTGTGAGAAGTGCATTTTGTGACAGAATCCACGGAAATCCATCCCCTGCCCCTGCCTCGCCCGCACCCAGCCCTGGTCTGTGCCGCTGGCCCCCTAGCCCGGCTGGCTCCCCCAGCCTCCCAGAGGGGACAGCTGGGCCCCAGACGAGGAAGAGGGAAACGGCCTGACTTACCTGCCTGAGGAAGCGGTTGTTGTCTAGGTCGACAACGAGGACCTACAGGACAAGAGGGAAAGGGACCAATGATATTGTCACCATGGCCTCGGGGACACAGGGACGACCCTCCGCCCCCCCCTCCTTCCCGACATGCAGAGATGCAGCTGGAATGGGGTGAGGAATTTGTGGTTTCCTGACATGGCCACTGCAGCCACAGTGACAGGAGGGGGTTGGGGCAGGGCTGTCCTGAATGGCCTGCTTTCCACACTGACAGCGCAGGCGGACATGCTCACAGACTCACTGAGGCAGGCCTGCCAGACTGTCTTTAGTGTGTGGGCTGCTAAGGTAGGGGCCCTCCACTTGTTCCCACTCCAGACCTCACGGCTTTTCCCTCCCAGCCACCCGCTCAACCTGGTCACTTCTCACTGTGGGAAAGAGGGGTCCGTGCTTCCTAGTGGAACAGGAGGGGGTGCCGAGGAGCGGGACCGGGCTGGAGAGGGAGTTGTGCTGGGTGGTGGGCTTTCATTGGTTAAAACTGCCTCCTCAGAGTGGGGCTGAGAGCCGGGGCCAGAACTGGGTGGGCAAGTAAGACACTGATGGTGTGAAATTCAGAGCCCTGCCCCCAGGCTCCCCGCCACCTCACCCCCGGACTCCCCGCAACCCCCAGGCTCGCTGGCCCCGATCCTGACCTGCTGACCCCACAGCCTGACCCAAGAGCCTAAGGCCTGCTGTGAGGGAGGAAGCCCTCCCTCCTTCTACAGGTCTTCTGGGGTCACACTGAGCCATCCTAGGGACCATGAGCACCCAGATGAGCTCCTTGTGGCTCCAATCCCAGCGGGAGGCCTGAGTCTGAAGGCTGGCATTCGGTGGCTTTAGGACGGCCCAGGCGTTAGAGCAGCACACTGAGGGCCCTGGGGGGAGTAGGGTTCAGGGACGGTGTGGGCTGAGCCCCCCAGCTCCTCTGAAGCTCACTGAGAAGTCACAATTTAGGGGAAAGGGCTGTGGCTAAATAACTACACAAAGTTCTAGCAGGATCCAGGGCTTGGACACTAAGGACGTTTTGGTGGCTGTCTTTTTAATTTACACGCGCAGCCTTTGTGCACTTTATTAGGGGACATGAAAAGACACTGCCGTCAGCTCCTCCAGTGCCCTCCCCCCTGGGTGCTGGGGAGCAGGCGATGGGGTGGGGGCCCACTCTTCGCAGGGTCTATGGGTGCTGGTGTCCCAGACTGCACGATGTCCTGTGTGCCCCCACCTCACTTGCTCACCTCCTTCCTGTGGGTGGTGTTAGCCTGAGGCCCTGTCCCAGTGGGTGTAGTGGCCCAGCATCCCCGCCCGCTCACCTCCTCCAGTGGCAGCTCCTGGAGCAGAGGCAGTGTGCTGGCGAGCAGCCCAATGAGGAAGGGGGTGGGCGAGCACACGATGTCGATCATGGAGGGTGGCAGCACCGGGACATAGGTGTGCTGCCAGGTGAAGGGGTAGGTGAGCGCCACCACCGAGTGGCAGCACGTGGACAGGGTGCTGTGGGACAGAGAGGAGCCGTCAGCAGGCTGAGAATGCACAGGAGCACCCGGCCGGGCTCGCGGAGCTTCCTGGGAGAAATGTCAGGGCTCAAAGGCACATTGGCTAGAGAGGGTCTCACTGTGTGAGGCAGACGTCATAACTCAGCCCTCGCACTGGAGGTCCTAGGCACGCTGGTCCTGTGCTAGAGGCGCTAAGACAGAGCTAGAACCAAACCTGTTGCTGTCGAGTTGATTCTGACTCATAGCGACCACATGTGACAGAGTAGAACTGCCCCAGAGGGTTTCCTAGGCTGTAATCTTTATGGGACCAGGTTGCCAGGCCTTTTCCCCCACGGAGCCGCAAGGTGGGCTCAAACTGCTGACTTTTAGGCTAGAAAGGTCTGCAGCTGAGTGCTTTAATGTTTGCGCCACCAGGGCTCCCTGTTTTGAGTGTGCTTGTGTGTTTTCTCGCACACTGTTGCAAGTGCTGATGAGGCACGGGTAGTCCGTGGGTCTGGGGGCGCTGAGGGTCTCTCTGAGTGAGCTGGACACATGGCTGAGGGGTAAGCATGGATGGGAGGGGCGTCCTCCCGTGTTTTAGGATGCCCAGGAAGAGCCTCCTCGTGGCTGGCTCACATCACAGAGATATGGAGGGAGGAAATGCCAGTGCCCGCAGCTGTGGTCCTTTTGTACAAGAGGGATGGGGAGAAGGCCCCGTGGGAGATGGCTGGGTCACAGGGTAAAAGGTAGGCACAGATGAGACAGGTCAGGTCCCAGAAGGGTGCGTGGTGGTGCTTCCTGAGGTGAAGTGTTGTTCTGGGGACATCAGGATACACCTGTGAGTGCCAGAGCTCTCCTGGAGCAGACGCTTCAGTGCCGGCTACCACCAAGCGCCTGGGCCACATGTGGGGTGACTGCGCTAAGCTGGCTTCCAGCTCATCAAGGGGCCACCAAGAATCTGGATGACACTTCCTCTAAGACGCTACCAGGAAGGTAGTGATGAGCTTCCTGGATCAGCCAAATGCCCTGGGAACTTCAAGGGTGGTTCAGCGTCCTTCACTGCCCAGCGCCCAGCGTCTCTCCTCCTGGTGCATCGGCCTGAGGACAGTGACCGATTGGATGAGGGAAGGTGAACCCTGGTCTGGTGGCAGGTGAATCCCAGTGGGAGGGGGTGTCACCATGCAGTTATGTGGCACACAGCTTATGAAGAACACAGGGATGGGTCTCAAGAAAACGGGTCCTGCTACCACCTGTGTGACCCCTGGTGAAGCCCTTAATCTCTCTTGGCCTCAGACTCCTCATCTGTAAAATAAGTAAATGGACAAGAGAAAATCTCCAATGTCCTTCCAGCTTTACTGTGTGTGAACCATGAATACAAGAGCAAGCAAAAGTCAGGAGCTGGACCTGGGAGCCTTGTGTTGAGGCCACAAAGAGAACCAACAGGTTACCGGGCGGTAGTCCCAGGGTTCCCCAGTGAAGACAGGATGGAAGATCAATGGGACATCTCCCTCTGAGAAACTAATGGACAGAAGCGTCTGAGAGGCTGAGAGCCACCGCAGTCCAAACAGGAAGACAACAACACAGAGCAGCAGAGGCTGGAGGGACCCGACTCCAGAGAGGAACGGAGTATGTTAACAAGCCAGGACTGTGTTAGTGATGGGTCTGGAGTAGACAGCAATGTGGGGCTCTGCTGTTCTCTCGATCTTCCTTCAGATGGTATCTGCTTAGTGTTCAGATGCAGAAACAGGTAGTTAAGTCTTAATATTTAGTCAGATTGATGCTAGTGTGTTACGAAAATGGTATTTTTTCATAAGACTTTGCTGGATTAAACGTATTTATCTCAAAGACTCTGTCAACCACATTGAGGACCAGCCAGACCTCTGGGCAGTACTTTGGGTCCCCAAGCACCAAGGGGGCTTTGGACAAACTCATCTGTCTAGCGGACATGCTCACAAACCCAACCTTCTGAGACGGCAGACATTGTTGAGTGCAACAGATTCTGGAGAGGGTATGGAACCCCCACTTAGGCTTACAGAAACTGCTTAAAATGAACCAAAAGAACCCTGTAGGATGAAGGTACACACTACAAATGAATTTGTTTGTGTAGTTACCCATGTGTCAAAGCCAAGGTTCAAACTCCAGAGTTTGTCAAGATCTGACCACCTATCCTACTTATTATTCGTCAGTAGTCTGTCATTAGGCTTACGGGCTTCACGCACTACAAAAGGATGAAAAGTAAATTTCTTAAATATTAAAAATGTTATCCTATCTAAAAGTTTTATACAAATTTGTTTATGTACAGAGCTGACTTTATTATTCAGCCTGCTCTGCAGGTTCAGCCAAAACTTAAGGGAACTGAAATTAATCAATTGAAAAACAAAATGTTTATCATCGAGGAACCGGAGAAAAGGGTCCAGGGAAATACTTATTTGAGTTGTTAGGATGACAGAACAAGCCATCACCACAACATCCTTTCTTTTCCATCTGTCACACTTGGGCTTGGCAGAGCCCTACAAAGCACTCAGTGTCCACTCTGAAGATGAAACGGAGCAAAAATGTTATTCTAAATTTTTTAGATTTTTGGCTCAACTTAAAACCCTTTTATAACTCATACAGTGTCTGCCACAGTCCCCTGCTACTTCCTCTTGCAGTGGGCAGCCTCGGTAGCCACGATGAATAATCAGTCATGAGTGTGAGAGGATGCTGGGCAGTGACTAAAGGTCCACCCTGGGATGTCACAGCCATGCTGAGTTCACGGCATGTCCTGTTCTGTGGTCTCACAGAGAGGGGGCGACAGAGGAGAGTCAGGAGGACGAGGCGCCATGAGGAGTAGTGGGCCCGTTGAAGGGGATGGAGGTGCAGCCTCCAACGTGTGCTGGAGGTTCCTCACAGACCTTCCCAGGCCAGACATCGGCAGCCAGGGACTGTCCCCTCAATCCATGTGTCATGGATTGAACTGTGCCCCTCAAAATATCTGTCAACCTGGCTAGCCCATGATTCCCAGTATTGTGTGATTATCAACCACTTTGTCATCTGATGCGATTTTCCTATGTGTTGTAAATCCTACCTCTATGATGTTAATGAGGCAGGATTAGAGGCCATTATGTTAATGAGGCGGGACTCAATCTATAAGATTAGGTTGTGTCTTAAATCAATCTCTTTTGAGATATAAAAGAGAGAAGCGAGCAGAGAGACAGGGGGACCTCATGCCACCAAGAAACAAAAGCCAGGAGAATAGGGTGTCCTTTGGACCCGGGGTCCCTGCACTGAAAAGCTCCTCAACTGGAGAAGATAGATGACAAGGACCTTCCCCCAGACTGACAGAGGGAGAAAGCCTTCCCCTGGAGCTGGCACCCTGAATTCGGACTTGTAGGCTCCGAAGCTGTGAGAGAATAATTTCTCTTTGTTAAAGCCATCCACTTGTGGTATTTCTGGTATAGCAGCACTAGATAACTAAGGCATCATGGTTGTCAGATTCCATGGCCTGGCCAAAGAAGCCATCACTTCCCTGTGGCTGTTTCCCCATAAATCAGTCAGAACTAGGTGAACAGACATTCTTCTGGAGGAACAGCCTCTAAGTGGAGTAACCAGAGAAGAAGAGAAGAGAAGCTGGGTCTCTTGCTTTCAGACTCAGTGAGTTCACACTCTTACTCATTCATACCACACACACATTCACACTTATACCACATGCTCACACCACACACTCATACCACATACATACACACAGTCACCACACACACACCACACACACACACTACTCACCACACTCATGCACACTCACACCACACACTCATACCACACACACACATTCACCACACCACACCCATACTCATACCACACACTCTCACCATACACTCATACTCATAACACACACATGTACTCATACCACACTCACACACACTCACCACACACATACACTCACCACACGCTCACACCACACAATCACATTCACCACACACACACTCATGCATTTGCACCTGTAAGCAGCAAAGGAACGCCAAGGGCTGCGGCAGCCACTGGAAGCTGGGAGAGAGGCCTGCAGCGGTTCTGCTCTCAGAGCCTCAGGAGGAATTGACATGGCTGATACCCTGATTTGGATTTCCAGCCTCCGGAACTGTGAGACAATACACTTCTGTTCTTAACGCCACTATCTTGTGGTATTTTGTTACGGCAGCCCCCGGAGACTCGGACATCGCTATGCTCCCACAGTCAGCTGCTCTGCAGTCCTGAGGGTGACGGCCCGAGTCGTTTAGCTGTCCCCCAGCACGCAGCCAGGTGCCCGGCACACAGAGTAAGTGACGAGTGGGCCAGCTGTCAGGTGGGGAGTCCTCACAAGTGCAGGCTCAGCCCATTTCAGACAACCGGGGAGCCCCACCACCCCCAAGCTTCGTGTCCTGTGGACTCACACGCTGGCCTGACTGAGCTGAAGCCCCAGTCCCAGGAGCCACCTGGCCTTCACACTTTGGGAGTCTCCGTCTGACCGGCACTCAAACACTCCTGAGGAGGCAGCCACGGCTGGTACCTGAGCTTGTCTGCTACGAAGATGACCCTCCTTTCCAGAAGCAGGGACGCGAAGACACGGACCAGGTGGCGGACACTGAGTGAGGAGAAGAGAGACTCAAAGTCCACGTGTTCAAGGCGGGAGTCCAGTGGGCGACACAGCTCGATCACCTGCCGGGGACAGGGCAGAAATGAGGGGGGGCCGACAGGCAGAAACGAGGATGCCCAGCCTACACAGCTCGGTCACCTGTGGGAGACGGGGCAGAAGTGGGGGGCGCTGACAGGAGGAGAAGTGGTGGGGGGACATGGTCTACATAGCTCAGTTACCTGCCAGGGATGGGGGCAGAAATAAGAGGGAGCTTGACAGGCAGAAATGAAGAGGGCCTGGCCTACATAGGTCAGTCACCTGTGGCGGACAGGGCAGAAATGAGGGGGGTCTGGTCTATACAGCTCGGTCACCTGTGGGAGATGGAGCAGAAATGAGGGGGGTCTGGCCTACACAGCTTGGTCACCTGTGGGAGATGGGGCAAAAATGAGGGGGGTCTGGCCTACACAGCTCGGTCACCTGTGGGAGATGGGGCAAAAATGAGGGGGGTCTGGCCTACACAGCTCGGTTACCTGTGGGAGATGGGGCAGAAATGAGGGGGCTCTGGCCTACATAGCTCGGTTGCCTGTGGGGGACGGGGAGCCATGGGGATGGGCAGCCTATGCGTCCAGGCCTCTCACAGGTGCTGCTGTCCCTGGGGGTGTGAGGCCCTCAGCAGGGGTGACCTGCTGGCATGAGGAAGGAGAAAGACAAAAAAAAAAAGAAGGGAGAAGGGATTGGGGTAAGAAAGCTCCCAGGAGACCGGGAAAGGCGGCGCCTTGACAGGGAAGCCAGAGCCCATGCCCCGGGAGGCCGCTCTCCCAGAGGAGCCACGGCCACAGGTCCCATCAGAGGGCAGTGCTCAGACCCTGCCGGGTGCAAGGTCAGTGTCAGATGGAAGTGGGGAAGGAGGATGGCAGAGCCAGTGGCCCTTGGCCTGCAGTGGTCAGGAGGCTCCCTGGCTGGGACGTATGTGACCCCACATGGGTCCTATGACATTGAGAACTGCCTGCTCCCAGAGTCCCCCCAGAGGGCGCGTGTCCTGGGCTGTGCCACCCATTGGAGCGGGACCACGGGTCCTCACACGGTGACCAGCGGATCCACCATGTCTGCAGACCCACCCCTTCAGAAGGCATATCCTAGTCTCCCTAACCCACCCACTGCTTTCTGATGCTGCTGTGCCTCAGCATTTATGCTCAGTGTGTTTGCTGGAATGTTCCGTGGCTTGCTACTCCATCTGTGTGTTTTCTCTCTCAATAGCTGACAGACACAGCACCTGCCCAGCACCTAACTCACTTCCACCCTGCTCCCCTCCCAGCTGAGCCACCTGTTGTCAGGCAGGGGATGGTGACGATTCCTCTCTGGTGGGGAACTGGGTGTTCTGGAACGTTCTGGACCCATCCTCACCTTCCTTTGTTTCCAGAGGTGGCCTGGCTTTCTCAGGGCTCCGGAACTGGGGACTGGAGATGGAGTGGGGTTGGCCCCCTGGTGCCCACAGACCGTAAATAGAACGGCAGGGACGGGTGTCGGGAGAGGACAGGACTCTGACGGCCTACCTCAGTCCCTGATCCTGGCAAGAAGTTCTTGACAACGATGGTTTTGCCCAGGGCTGGGAACGGCGCTTCCATCACGCTCCTCATGAAGGGCTGGACCAGGGCAGGAGAGATGCCACGTCGTTTCTCCACCTCGTCCAAGATCTGCAAGGGCCAGAGAAGCCATTCAGCTATTCTGGCATCAGGCCCAAGGCGACCTCCGTTCTCAAGTGGGGCCTCGGGGGCTGAGGTCCTCGCCTGGCCAGGCGCCTGCGCACGGCTGGCCCCGAGTCTCCCTTTGTGCATCCTCCCCCTTGCCGTGTGACCTTGCAGCCCCCACAAAGGGGTGAAGGACCGTTCCCTCCCCCTTGACTCTCGGTGTGGCCATGGGGCTCCCGGAGGTAATACTTGCATTCTCTTCTCGATGGGAGCAGTATCGCCCCCTAGCAGTGAAAACTGGTTCTTGGAGCGGGGGTGTGAAAAAAATCATAAATACTATAATGGTTTGTAGGCCTCCAACAGGCCACGGTACATGAACAGATACACAGAATATCTGTGGTATTAAAATTTCATGCGCGGTAGCCATTAGGGAAATGCAAATCAAAACCACAAAGAGATACTACTTCATACGAGCTAGGATGGCTATAATCCAAAAGACATGTAATAAGTGTTAACAAGGATGTGGAGAGATTGGAACTCTCGTCCAGTGCTGGTGGGAATGTAAAATGGTTCAGCCACTTTGAGAAAAAGTCTGGCAGTTCCTCAAAGGGTTAAATTTAGAGTTGTCATGTGACTCAGCAATTCCACCCCGAGGTATACACCCAAGGGAGGTGAAAACATCTGTGCACAGAATAAAACGCACACAGGGATGTCCCTAGCGGCACTATTCACAACAGCCAAAGGGTGGGAACGGCCGAATGTCCATCCGCTGACGAACGGATAAACACAATGTGGTCTCTCCATACAATGGAACAGTATTCAGCCATAAAAGGAATAAAGTCCTGAGAACGTGCTAGACACGGATGAACTTCGAAAACATTATGCTAAGTGAATGAAGTCAGCAACAAAGGGTCACACGTTGTATGATTCCATTTATACCAAGTGTCCAGAAAACACAAATCCTTAGAGACGGAAAGCAGACTGGTGGCTGCCTAGGCCTGGGGAGGGGATGGCAATAATGAAGGTGACAGCTAAGGGGAATGGAGTTTCTTTCTGGCATGATGGACATGTTCTAAAACTGACTGTGTTGATGGTTGCCGAACGCTGTGAATATGCCCACACCACTGAACTGCACCCTTTAAACGGATGTGAATTACAGCTCAAAAATCTGTTAAGAAAAACCCAAATGCCAGACCCTGTATGAGATAGCAGTAAATCAAAGAATATAAATAAAAACGTCCTTTATAGTATTACACATGGCTGTCGCGCCGTTAGAATGTGGCTAGTCTGAATTGAGATGGGTTGTAACTGTAAATACTCACTGAATTTCGCAATTCAAAGTTAAGAACGTAAAATATTTTCATGTTCTTAAAAATTTTTGATTTTTTTGAAAATATTGACTCCCTGCTGAAATGATAACATTCTGGATACTTTGGGTTAATTAAAATACTGAATTTTTCAAAAAACATTCATGGCAAGGCAATGAGGAAATAGAAACAAAGGCTGCTAGAGGGGCGGTGATGAAATAATGGGAGAAAAACACAGAGTTAACAGAACGAGGCTGACGGAGCTCAAGGCCTGAGCCCCGGGAGACCTGCCCTAGGCCCCTGCTGTCCTCTGCCCGCACCAGGAGAAGAGCAGGCCTGGGCCCCGGGAGACCTGCCCTAGGGCCCTGCTGTCCTCTGCCCGCACCAGGAGAAGAGCAGGCCTGGGCCCCGGGAGACCCCTCCTAGGGCCCTG